TGAGAAAAGCGAGTAAGAGCAACTTCACATCTTTCCAGAGTAGTGGATAATTCTTATGCATGTCTTCATTCATCTACAACATCTGGTATCCTCCACGCTTGAACCTTGCAAGCTGATGTTTTCTTTTAAAGTTCAATGAAACTTTCTTGTAGGGTAATATCAACTTCAAATGCATCAGCAACGAAGGGATCCACAAACAAGTGAAGCACTGTCATTTGGAGTAGATCAGAAAAGCGAGTTTTCATAACATTATGCTACTGCTTCAAATAATCAACATATGTTGCTAAATCATCATTAAGCAGCTCGGTACATTTGCTAAGGACGAAAACTGTGCAAAGCACCGCGCCCCAACGTTTAGCCAGAACAGTTTTAGTTTCCCATTAAACGCATTAATTGCCTCCTTGCAGAAAAACAAAATGGAGATATTTCCTTGGAGCTCTTTGTTCAGGACATTTAGCTTTTCAAAATTGAAAGACAAGTTAGTGAAAACATATCTTAATTTAAATTTTAAATTATGAGTTTAAAATTTTAAGAAACTGTAAACTAAAACCGGCCATTTTGCATAGATCGGATGGAAAAAAATATAATAAATAAATATTTATGTTAACAAAATGGCTTAGATTAATTTCATATTTAAATTAATAATGAATTTAATATTTTATTTTAAATAATAATTATTAATTACAAAATACTCCGTATATATATATATATATATATATATATATATATATATACTGTGGGTCTTAAATTTTCTGTGCCCCCTCGTGGCCCCCCATTTTTCAAACTGAAAATATCAATATGGGCAATGGCCCATGTTGAAAAAAAACTTGGCTTATAATGATAATCTAGCCCTACACACGTTGTCAAGACTTGAACCCCGTGTCTAACAGTTTGATGTGACGTTGACTCTGAGGCCACGCAAGAAAAAGCGCAACAGTGTGAAACTGATCTTTATTAGTCGTGACTCCACAGAAAACCCGAACTTGGTGTACATCGACGTTGGAAACCCGTCTGCAAGGCGGTACTTAACGTTCTTTCTGTTCATTTGGTTTCATTTGGTTTGTTTTACGGCATACCAACCTCAATTGGTTATTTAATGGCGACAATATTTTTATTGCTGGTCACATTTAAAAAAAATGTATTGATAGTAATATTTTTTTCTTAAAAAATTCATTGCTGATAAGTTTTTACAAAAATGTATTATTGGTATTAAAACCTATTTTTACACTTTCATAGAGTTTTGACCCCAGTTCGGGGGTTAACTACTTGCCCATAGCTAAGACCCTAACAGGTGCTACCACCCCGGATTAGGGTGGACCTGGAAACACCAGTAATTAAGAGGTGGTTTCACGCTCCCCAAAACATCCCAATAAGAGGCCTTGCTGTTGGATGTAGTTTATCTGTTCATTTGATCACTTTTAAGAAACACACTATCTTCGAATCGTTGTGGTTGGTAGCTAGTTTTTATGAACATGGTCTGTTTTTTTTTTCTTTTAATTATTTTTTTGTGTCATTTTGGAAGCTGCCATGATAATGTTCTCGATACATTAAAAAGTGAAGTGAAAATGCCAAAATTTGGCGCATACCGTGTAACTTTACACGATATCGTCTTTCATATTTTTTCTATCTAACTGGTTTTTTTTATCTATGAATTTGTTTCGCAGGAAAAGCGTAAACAAATATTCCCCACGGTACCAAAATTTCCTTTTCGAATCTAATTAAAAAAAACCAAAAAAAAACCGACAGGCTTCGAGAGAACAACAACAATAAGCATTTCACCCCAAGCAAGGCGGGAGTGCCACTCGTACGCAAAGGGCTACAGAGAGTGAAAGTAAGGGAAAAAATTGGGGGGGCTGAGGAAAGGATAAAAAGAAGGGAGGATGTGGATAAAAAGAAGAACGGGGATCAAGGCAACAGAAAATGTCGATTGACATTACATTTAAACTGTTGAAGATTATAGTTATCAGGGAAGCGAATAAGAGGAAGGGAGTTTCACCGTCGGGAAGTGCGAGAGAAGAAGCTGTTGGGGTATAAGAGGTGGTTAAATTTAACTGCTTTGGCAATGAAAGGATTGGACCGAGATGCCAACCTAGTAGCACGCTTAAATTCATTCAGTCGGGACACCAGTGAACATACCTCGTTAGAAAGTGCTGCACAATCATTCTCTCTTTATATTCACGGACTAGTAAAATCTAAGCTAGTTTCAACTTCTCACCCAGCACTTCTATCTAAGATAATCTCACCCAACTCAAAGATAGGTCTTGCGATCTGTAAGTCTAGAATAATCTTCATGCAATTCTGTCTTGATGCCTGTCATGGTGGTCCTATGTGACTCTACAACCTCCGTGGTGTTCTGGATTCATTTTTCCCGGGGGCGTTCAACTGGTCTTTTGGCGGACGTTTTTCAGTTGTGCCATCGTTTCGGGATTCTTGAGTCTTCCATGATTCAGACGTGCCCATACCATCTCAGCCGAGTTTCCTCAATGTCTGTCAAAATATTCTTCACGTTCAGTTCTTATCCGATGTCATCATTCTTCATCTTGTCCCGACGCGTGACTCCCTTAATCAGCCGAAGGACCCTCATCTCAACTGCCTGCACACAGCTGCACAAGTTTAGTGGCATAGATTATTATCACTATGCGAGTTTCCCATTGGCAAAGCTGTCATCGTTTAGTAACTTCTTATCTTTTAATTACAAAAAAATTGCGACTTGCCCAAACGTGAAAAAAAAAAAAAAAAAAATAGAAATAGATGAAAAAGATAAAAGAAGGACAAAAAAAGAAAAAAAGAGAGACAGTCTTGGAGACAAAACCAGAACTTCTTGCTCAACAGCATTGGTAAAATTCCTATGACGCCTATTTGACAACTTCGCTTCATTTAATAAATTTGCTTACTCTGTCAAAACGCCCACAAACTATACTTTTATGAAATATGCTATGTCCATTCAACACTAAGATGATCATGGCTCTTTACCGTTTCCTTTACTTCATTATCAATGAATTGCCGTGACTTGTAAAACACCTAGTTGCATCGTTTCCTTTTACCTTCTCCACAATTTTGAATTCAGAATAGTCTTGCTCTCATACTGGCTGCCAACCAAGCCTAGAGAAGGAAATCTGTAATATAAACCATACCTAGGGGCGGATACTGTGTCCTTTCAATGCGTAGGCGGTTATGACTCTTCACGATTTCTCTTTTTTTATTATCTGTAAATTGTCATGATTTGCAGAAGAGTAGTCTCCTATTGTCTTAACCCTAGAACACTAACCATAGGTATATAGTACCCAGTGCAAATTTTCTATTTTTAATTACAATTTTCAATACCTGATTTTCTTACCTAAATAATATGTTTTTCAGTTCCTATGTTAACTCAAAGTACAAAATTTGAAGTGCCTGCATGTAAAATATTTCAAATAAAGATTTATTTTTAATATTTTTTTGGGGATATTTTTAAAATCAGGTATGATATATCATGGTTAGTAGTGTTGTAACTTTAATTGATGGTTAGTGTTCTAGGGTTAACCAGAATTTTGAATTTAGAGTCGCACTTAAAGACTGTCTGCCAACCAAAGGGAGAGAGCCCAGTGGGCACCGCAATTTAAATATTACTCATTATTGTTTATATTACAGCTATTATTGCAATGATATATTTAACTGTACGAAATCACACATTGTCTTTTGCTCTGGAATTTTGAGAAGGTCACTAAAATACTAGCTTGGAAAGACAGATGAATGAAACAAGTTAAAAGAACTACCGTAGCATATTCTAAATGAAAACTATATTATCGGAATAGGTTTAACTTTTCATATGAGTAAAAACTGAACATATGTCACTATTTTGATTCTTGTGTAAAACCGAACCTATGTCTACAAATTTATGACTCAAGTATAAACTGGACTTTACTGTAAACCGGACCTACGCCTAACTTTCTGATTCTTGTGTAAAACGGCCCTCTTTTTAGTTCGTTTAAACTGGTCCCATATCTGCCTTTTTAAACCGGTCCTTTTCCGACCTTTCTGATTCTCGTGTAAACTGGCCCATTTTTTAGTTTTTTTGACTCAAGTGTAAACTGGACCATGTCTGCCTTTTTAAATCGAACCTATTTCTACATTTTTGACTCTAGTGTAAAACAAGCCCTTTTTTCGCTTTCGACTCAAGGGTAAACGACCTATTTTTAAACCGGACCTATTTCGACCCTTTTGACTCTCGTGTAAGCCATCCCTCTGTTTAGTTTTTTTTTTTTCCAATGTAAACTGGACCTATATTTAAACCGGACCTATTTCAACCTTTTTGATTCCCGTGTAAGCTGGCCCTTTGTGTAGTTTTTTTATACTCAAGTGTAAACTGGACCTATATTTAAACCGGACCTATTTCGACCTTTTTGAATCCCGTGTAAGCAGGCCCTCATTTTGTTTTTTTTTTACTCAAGTGTAAACTGGACTTAAATCTGCCATTTTGCATCTAGTGTAAAACCAGACATTTTTATCATGGGCGTAAAGTCGACCTTTTTGACTCAACTGGAAACCGCAACTATGTCTGCTTTTATGAGTCTAGATAAAATTTGTCCGACTTTTGTTGTATAAAACATCAAATAAACCAGGCGACCCTGATAATCTTTATTGTAATAACCGAAATAAATTAAAACAAACTTTAATTGGAAAAGTGTAGCATTTTTTGGAATGGGTTCAAGATCAGTATTTCAATTTACTCGGGTCAGTTAAACCTCTCCGATTTCTCCCCAGACGCAAGGCTTACGGTCATATCAGGTTACAACATTGGTTCTTGTAACATCACCAAAATTAAGCAACATCGAGCCTGGCCAGTGCCGAGATGGGTGACCGCTTAGGAATATCAGATGCTGTAAGCTTGGATGTGCGGCTCTAAAATTAGGTTACTGCTTTATCATGTGGAAACACCGATTCTAGTAAGATTACCAAAGTTAAACAACGTCGAGCCTGACCAGTAACGAGATAGGTGATGTACTGGTTTCTAAATGGCTTATGACGATATCGCGTCGAAACACCGGTTCTCGTACGATCAGTGGAGTTAAGCAACATCGAACCTGGCCAGTACCTAGATGGGTCACTGCTTGAGAATATTACATGCTGTAAGCTTGGATTGCGGTTCTATAATTGACTTACGGACATATCACGCTGAAACACCGGTTCTCATAAGATCACCGATGTTAAGCCATGTCGAGCTTGGTCAGTACCTCGATGGGTGACCGTTTGGCTATGCCAAATGCTATAAGATTTGATGTGTGGATGGTACAATTGACTTAGGGCCATGTGGCTTTGAAACATTGGTTCTCATAAGATCTCCGAAGTTAAGCAACGTCGAGCTTGGTCAGTACCTCGATGGGTAACCGCTTGGAAAAACTAGGTGCTGTCAGCTTGAATATAGGGGTGGGTGTTAATGGATAATAGCTCAGAATTGGAAATCATAATGCCGAATTCTAATTCCAGTCGGGTTCATTCTATTTTTTTTACACGTAAATACTCTTGAGAAAAGTATGAATCAACTTCTTCCCCATCTGTGGGTTAATTAGTAGGGCTTGTATCAGTAGATCATTATTATCTACAAAATATTCTTACAATTTAAAAATATTTTCTGGCATTAAATAACCTGAAAATTGTTGAAAAGCGGTAAAAACAAAAATAGGTGCAAAGACATGTCCAATCGGATCGGACATGTTACCTAAGAAGGAAAAATCTAACAAAATCCCTACAACCTTGGAACCATAACATCATCGTCTCACTTCACTAAGTCATGAAAGATGAATATATGGTTTAAAGTGTAGACTCAGTCAAATGCATAAAGTAGTCCACTTGAACGTTCACCAACTCAAACCTGATCTTTGTTACAAGTCTCCAACACTCAATGTAATATCTATCTATCTATCTATCTATCTATCTATCTATCTATCTATCGCAGTTTGTTCATATCTATCTACCTATCTATCTATAGCAGTCTGCTCATATCTATCTATCTATCTATCTGTATGTATATATGTATATATGTATGCTTGCTGTCTATTTGTCTATGGCAGTCTGTTAATAACTATCTATGGTAGTCTGTTCATTATCTATCTATCTATCTATCTATCTATCTATCTATCTATCTATCTATCTATCGCAGTTTGTTCATATCTATCTACCTATCTATCTATAGCAGTCTGCTAATATCTATCTATCTATCTATCTATCTATCTATCTATCTATCTATCTATCTATCTGTATGTATGTATATATACATTATTTACATTATTCGGACTATTGTCCTCATCTTTGTCGCCATTTTTTCAAAACGTTTCGGCCGTTGTACGCTCCGGCCTTCTTCAGGTGGTTGGAATTTCGAACTGAACCCTTTATTTCGCCCACTGGGATAGACTGTTCTAGTTCCACGATGTTAGTTATTAGTTATCTCCTGACATATGTATGTATGTATGTTTGCTGTCTATATATCTATGGCAGTGTGTTAATAACTATATATCTATCTATGGTAGTCTGTTCATATCGATCTATCTATAGCAGTCTGCTCATATCTATGGCAGTTTGTTCATGTTACTCTATCTATCTATCTATCTATCTATCTATCTATCTATCTATCTATCTATCTGTCTGTATGTATGTATGTATGTTTGCTGTCTATCTATCTATGGCAGTGTGTTAATAACTATCTCTCTATCTATGGTAGTCTGTTCATATCTATCTGTCTATTGCAGTCTGCTCATATCTATCTATCGCAGTTTGTTCATATCTATTTACCTATCTATAGCAATCTGCTCATATCTATCTATCTATCTATCTATCTATCTATCTATCTATCTATCTATCTATCTATCTGCTTCAGTTACCTGAGTAATGTAAACGGGTGCGTTATCTTGGAGCAAGAACACACTTGCCCTCACCTTCCCTCTGCATTTCGACTTGATTGCTTCCTTCCGTTGTCTTCTGATGTATAATACTCTCCATTAATAGTCTTCCGCCTTTCCAGTTAGTTTATCATGATAACGCCTTCAACATCCCCCCCAAAACAGGCTATCACTATACAAACAGACGCTGATTGCTTGAACTTCTTCGTGGGTGAATATCCAGAAAGTTTCCCCTGTTTGCTTTGAATCTTTGATTCAGGTTCGAATTGGTGAACCGAGGTTTCATCTTGATTTACTAATCTGCAGTGAAAATTATCAACGTCAGCCTGGAAGCGAGTTAGAAGTTTTCCAACAACCCTTTTCAGCTTCTGTTCCGGTGTCACCATACTTGCGACGCATTTTGCACACAGTTTTCTTATCCTTAAGCTTTGGGTTAAAACAGTATGGCCTGAACTAATGCCTATGGACTAGTGGTTTTTGTTCAACCTGACCGACGGTCATGTTCCATGCTGTCCCTGCCCCGTTTGAATTCCGCAGCCCACTTCTTCACAATTGTATAAGCAGGGGTCTCCTCAGTAAGTGACTGTAACATGTCCTCATGGATTTCCTTGGGTGTCATACCTTTCTATTGCAGATAATTTATGATTGCTTGGGCCTTTATTTTATCCATTCCTAGATTTGTCGCACACATCTCACCTGCACAAATATTAAGATAGAAATCTGAATTAGTTTTTTTTTAAATTTTATAAGAAGCGGTAGTGTATGGGCAAGTGATTAGAACGTTCGCTTTCTGACCATGAGAATCTTGCCATGTTCGATTTGTCAGGAATGATGTTATCAGGGTCTGGAGGAGTCGGTTCCAGCGTGTGGAAACATTTGGAAACTGCCTGAAAAGCCATACCACGGGTTGACCCAAGCCTTATGATTGAAATTAGATAGATGAATCTATTTGGAAGCCGTCGATGGTTGTACTAGCACGAAATAGAAAGCCATCGTGACCGAGCGTTTGAGCGTACTGGCCTTTGTTCAGACTGTTGATCACGCCACATGAGCTCCTACCCAACAACCATAACTAAGGTCCGTTCAGCATAGTTGTAGTATAAACCACAGCTGGGCCCAGTGCGTGTTAAACAAACACAAATGTGTCTGAGCAGGCGTCTACAATAGGGATTAGCTAGCCACGCTAGTAGACAGGCATCCTCGGATACGAGTGGCTGTGTCATTTAGAATGTGTTGACACTACAAAGACGTTCAGCAATGGCTTGGCAATGGTTCAGTGAGGCTTAGAACTTTTCGAACGAACCTCGTATGATCACTTTCATTCGCTGTATCGTAGTGGCCTTTTGTCAAACTTGGTCATAAATTTTTAGTGAGCGTAAACCTAATCAGCAATCAGCAAGTCGTATTTCGTATTCAGGCTTAGATGCTTGAAGTTTACTCTTTTTAGGAAAGGCATGAATCCACTTGCCCCTGCTCTATGTTTCATAACCGGGAATTTTTTTATCACCCCAAAGAAAAATAGACAAAGGAAAAAAGAATGGATGGCAGATGAAATTCTCGACATGGTGAAAAGGAGACAAAAAACAGTGCCAACGTAAGGCACAGAATATAGGATTCTGCACAGATAAATTAGGAACAAATACAGACAGGCTAAAGAGGAATGACTCAACGAAGAATGTGCCGAAATAGAAATAATGAGTATCACTGATAAAGCAGGTATGCACTAAAAATAAGAGAAGAGACCAAATGTCATGCTCATCAGTACGATGCATAAAATCTAAAGACAGGGAACTAATATTATAGAAAGAAGAAATACTTCAGAGACGGGACGAATACACCGGAGAATTTCTCCACGACGAAAGAGAACAACGGACAATACAAAGAAATAACGAAGAACCAAAAATATTGAAATCCGAAATAGAATCAGCAGTGACCAAGACTACGGCAGAAATTGTTGATGAACGTAAAGTTTATCAGTAACGAAAACAAAATCGAATTCTTATTCAAGACTAAACGCTTCAAGTTTATTCCTTTTTAGGAAAGGCATAAATCCACTTTTAACTGCGCTCTCTTTTATTGCCGGTATTTTTTTAAAAGATGAGTTTAATAATCGTAAAATAAAATAATCAACATAACTAAGTGTCCATCCTATCCCAGTCTGTTCATATCTATCTATCTATCTACGTATCCTTTTTTCTGTCACGCCCACTGATCAACAAGTGTCACCTATATTTCCTGCAGAACAACACGAAGCAGAAAACACTTGATTTACACCTTTCTCATCAATCATTCCTCGTTTCCTTTTTTTTTTTAATTTCTTCAAAACAAATGAAAAGGGCTTTTAAACTATAATTTTCGCTCCGGGTTAAGTCTTTTCATCGACTGTCAAGCCTATAAATTCCTGTAAACACACTTTTTGAAAATTTCAAAAAACAAGTGAAAAGGGCTTTTAAACTCTAATTTTCGCCCCGGATTAAGTATTTTCATCGACATTTCTGAACTTTCAAGCCTATAAATTCCTGTAAACGCGCTTTTTGAAAATTTTACAAAACAAATGAAAAAAGCTTTCAAACTATCATTTTCACTTCGAATCAAAGCGAAAATCTATATAAAATAATATACACCCTTGTACAAATTAATGGAAACAAAACGAATAATTTCGTTATTATTTACTTTTTTTTTGTATTTTTCCAATGAAACCTAACTCAGTGCACATGTTAGTACTTTGTATGTCCATTCCACAATTGGATTTAAATCAGGAGAGTTTCCTAGTCAGTCTATAGTACTTTGATTTGCTCACTGGTAAGGCTTGCCAGTGTGTTCGTGCAGTGTTACAATTTTCGTACGTTTACTTGGAGTAACGTCCATCGCAGACAATGACCGTGGGACAACTAATCGACAGTCGAGACAATAGTGTCTGGGCGTGAAAAAAATCTGATGCAATCACGGATGACGCAATATTTTTCAGGGTCAAACAAATTTCATCATACACCCTGAAAATAGATTCATATTACTGCACACCACTGCAAATGACCTAATCTGAGTTAAAAATAGAAATCAATTAAACCCTGTCACTCCAGTGGGTCTAAAACTGACTGTATGGGTGAAAGAAAGGAAACTGAAGCAGTTGTTTCAAATAATTTGCACAAGGGTGTATATATATATATATATATATATATATATATATATATATATATATATATATATATATATATATATATATATATATATATATATATATATATATAGAATATGCTATATAAATCAATCTAAAGGTTGGTATTTGAATAACAAAATGCAAATAAATCCTATGCCAGGCAAGTTGTCCCTCGAAAAAATTTCTTCAGACCAAATTATTATTTTTTTTACTGATGAGATCATATATATCTAGGGAAGTGAACAAAATGCAAACAAATAGTGGAATGTAGTTTTAATTAACTGACAAAGTAAACAGTGAAAATACATAGAAAGCGCACTAATTTCTGAGTCACCCCCAGTAATTCAAAGTCCTGGTTTAAAAAGCATATCGCCTTTCTTAACAAATCTACTGCTATTACAATCCCGGATATTTAAAATCAACAACGAGTAAATCAAATACAAAACAAATAAGAAATCGAAGGATATCAGCTAGCTTGTCCATTTAGAATATTAATCTAAAGTTAAACGTTCCTACATTTTAGCGTTTCTTTCGACGTATAATTAAAACCGAGTTTTGTGACCGACGCACTTAGCATCTCTTTTCTGCGTAACTAATGACGGAGAAATATAACCGGCTGTCAAGAGTCATGTAACTTAATCTTGATGGATGAGGCAACGAGGGTAACTTGGGGGCCACAATACTTGGGACCACCTTCAATCAGAGCCTAACTGGATACCCGACCTGAAGGTGTTTTAACTTGCCCACAACTAGGTGCAAGGATATCCACTGCTTTTCTCTGTTACTATATCGCGGACTTTTGCCTGGGATGCATGTTCCTGGTATACACTTATAAGACAAGGTGACATGGTGCGTGTATTGGTTTTCATGGGCGCGTGGTCGAGTGGTTAGAACGTTCGCTTTCCGACAATGAGACCCAGGTTCGAATCTCATCGTAGGCGATTTATCAGAAAGTTAGTTGGCTATTTTTGTTTAATGGCATATCAACACCGCTATGGGTTATTTAATGCCGAAATCTAGATATTTTGTACGCAGTTTTTTTTAGATAATAATGGTTTTAGTGATACAAATCTTACTAATTAACCTATAGCTTTCCTCAAGAGTATTTTCACATAAGTGAATATAACGAACCCGACTGGAATTGGAACTCGGCTCTCAGATTAACAATTCCGAGTCATAATCCATTACACCACCCGCACATCCAAGCTTACAGCACCTGGTATTTCCAAGCAGTCACCCATTTAGGTACAGGCTAGGCTCAACGTTGCTTAACTTCCGTGATCGTGGCCGTAAGCCGGATTTATCGGGAAGGTGACGTCTTGATATAATCGACCTGGGAAGGCGATCCCAGTGCGCGTCACATTTGGAAAGTGTTTGAAAAGCCATACCACGGTTTGACCCAAGCCTTGTTATTAAATTGGATAGACGGAACTCTTTGAGAGCCGTCGTTGGTTGTGCTAGCACGAAGTAACAAGTCATCGTGACCGAGCGTTTGAGCGTACTGGCCATTATTCCGACTATTGATCACGCCACATGAGCTCCTTTCCAAAAATTGTAACTAAGAGCCTATCAGTATAGTTGCAGTATAAATCACAGGTGGACCCTTTGGGTGTTGAACAAACACAAATGTGCCTAAGCGGACATAGTCGGATACGAGCGGCCAGCGACCATTGGGATTCGTATATTTGTAACCCAACGTTATTATGTCGCGCAGATCTCTCAATATCATTATTATTATTATTATTATTAATAATAATAATAATAATAATAATAATAATAATAAATACAGAAAATTGTTCTCACGAGTACAGTCCACGCCTTACGAAGGAGTTTATCTATGTAAAATATATTTCATTTTTTTTAATTGCTCAGTGGAAAATATCATGATGCCATTTCTAAACATAAGTCTCTGGTCGGGACCCAGAAAGAAATGAGTAAACATCAGAAACTAAAAGATAATAATAATAATAATAATCTGATATTATCGTAAAAGACAAGAAATTCAGGAAGTGTATACTTATTGGCCTAGCAGTAGCATCTGAGAAAAACACCTTCATAAAAACTATCGAGAAATTGTCGATACAAGCAGATCGAGATTAACAGGATGTGGGGAATGAAGACAGACTGTACCAATAATAATCGGAGCACTGGGCCTCGTGAGAAAAGGAATGTCCCAGGTAACATCAACATACAAGTTGCCCAGAAGATCGCCCTACTAGGAACATCCCATATACTAAGAAAAGTGCTATCAATTAAATGACAATTCTCCTAAAGGCCTAAGGACCATAATTTGGACTCGGCTCTACAGGATATAAAGCAGGGAAAATAACATACACAAATAATAATAATAATAATAATAATAATAATAATAATACTTGTTCTCATGGCTTTTGTTCTTAATTGATTGGAGGTGAATTAAGATAGGGTACAGTAAATATACCGTTAAGTACTACAGATTCACTTGGTCCTGACCATAAACAGTTGAATGCACCTAGAGGTTGAATGCACTTAGAGGATGATGCATTTTGCATCTCTGTTCATGCGGTGGGGTTGTGAAGAGCATCATGGCTGCGTGTCGAGAGGGTTGTTTTTTTAATCAAGATTGAGGGAAGAGACAGCAAATAAATAAATAAATAAATAAATAAATAATAATAATAATAATAATAATCGCTAGGTGGCAGAGATCTGATCACGCGACATTCATCTTGTCACGTGAGGGGTCGCTAAGTCCCGGAATGGAGGGGCAACTGGGTCAAAGGATTAGCAAGAATTCTCAAAACAATTCCCCCATCAAATCACATCAGAAAGAAACAAATCTGAAAAAAAGACTACTACTGTCACTACTACTACTACTACTACTAATAATAATAATAATAATAACAATAACAGCAACAACAACAACAATAATAATAATAATAAATCCACGAGACATTTTACCTAAAGATTATTGATGTGTATATGTTCGAAACAGACGTTGAAATGAAAGGTATTTTGTCTTCTTTTAAGATCTCTCATTTTCTTATTATCTCTAAACTTTAATCCGGTTAGATTATCACTACGATTAAACCTGAGTATATTGAAACACAATGTGTATGTGTGTGAGTGAACAAAAAAGTTTTCTTTACCGACGCGATTTGTCCATTGAGGGATTTTATCAAGGTAAATCCAAGGATTTTATTCTGCGGCATGTACAGGGTGCGATGGATAAATTTTCGTCTGAATGACGCAAAAATGAAAATAAGACTGAAATTTCATTTTAACAGACATACTCTTGTGCAAATTAATTGAAACAAAACGAATAATTCCGTTATTATTTACTTTTTTTCATATTTTTCCAATGAAATATGCCCCAGTTGATAGTACATTGATTTGCTCACTGGCAAGGCTTGCAATTGTGTTCGTGGAGCATTACAATTTTCGTACGCTTCCTTAGAGTAACGTCCATCGCAGTCAATGGACGTATGACAACTAATCGACAGCCGAGACAATAGTGTCTGGGTGGGAAGAAAATCTGATGCAATCAAGGAAGACGCAATATTTTTCAAGGCCAAACAAATTTCATCATACACTCCGAAAATAGATTCATATTACTGCACATCACTACAAATGTCCTAATTTGAGGAAAATTACAAATTGATTGCACCCTGTGGGTCTAAAACTGACCGTGTGGTGAAAGAAAGAAAACTAGAGTGGTTGAATTTTCACAAGGGTGTATATTTTACCATAATTACGCAAAAATATCTTGAAAATTTATTCAATATAATTGCCATTGACTTCAATCACGGCAACCAGACAACTTCGAAATCTCCTGCAACTCGTCAGGACGGTTTCCTTGTTTAAGTTGGCAAATGCAGCCATAATCCTTGCCTTCCGTTCATCTTTGGTGTTACAACAAGTTTTGTTAGTCTCTCGCTCAACTGCGTCCCACACGTAATCAAGGGCGTTGCAGTCTGGGGAGTCAGGTGGCCAGATGTAAGGGATGATGTGGTCGCAGAAATAGTCAGCCATGAATGAGTTTTCCTGCTTGTGTGGTATGATTCAGTGTCATATTGCCAGACACAGGGTCTTCCAGCACCCACCCTATTGACACAAAGAAGAACAGTAATCTTT